TGAAGCATTTCTTAATTCTCAAAAAGCTGGCAAAGAAAAAGATGGTACAAAAAGAAAATCTTTGTCTGACAGTGAATCTGATGACAGCAAATCAAAGAAGAAAAGAGATGCTGTAAGTATACAATATTGCCCAGCAGCTTGTCCTTTTGTAAAAGGTTGATGGCTTGATTGATTGATTTTGTTGCCCAGGCTGGAGTGCAGTGGCACAATCTTGGCTCACTGCATCCTCTGCCTCCCGGGTTCAAGCAATTTTCCTACCTTGGCCTCCAGAGTAGCTGGGATTACAGACACCTGCCACCACACCGACTAATTTTTGTATTTTTAGTAGAGGCTTTCACCATGTTGGCCAGGCTGGTCACAAACTTCTGACCTCAGGCGATCTGCCCACCTCAGCCTCCCAAAGTGCTGGGATTACAGGGTTAGGGTTGGGTTGAGCCCAGTCCCCCATGGTGTTCTTCACATCTGGAGGAATTAGCCTCACTCCAGGCCCAGCTCTGTTGCTCAAGGCATCTGTCTCCGCAGAGGTCAGAGGTCTGTAGCCCTGCCCCCTTTACCCCCATCCTGCCCCACCCTGCAGGTCAACTTGTCTCCAACTCTGTTTTGGTCACACCAGAAGCTGATATCTTGGGAATCCCAGGAATTTGGGAGGCAGTGGGCTTTGGTTCAAGTCTTGCCTTTGTTCATCTTTTTTTTTTTTTTTTTTCCTTGAGATGGAATCTCACTCTGTCGCTCAGGCTGGAGTGCAGTGGCTAAATTTTTTTTTGCATTTTAGTAGAGACAGGGTTTCACCATGTTGGCCAGGATGATCTCCATCTCCTGACTCATGATCTGACCGTCTAGGTCTCCTAAAGTGTGGGGATTACAGGCGTGAGCCACCACACCCAGCTGACAGTGGCATTTAAATAGAGACCTTTGGGCTCGGTGGAGTAACTCACGCCTGTAATCCCAGCACTTTGGGAGAACGAGGCGGGCGGATCACCTGAGGTCAGGAGTTTGAGATAAGCCTGACCAACATGAGGAAACCCTGTCTCTACTAAAAATACAAAAATTAGCCGGGCATGGTGGCATGTGCCTGTAATCCCAGATACTTGGGAGGCTGAGACAGGAGAATCACTGGAAGCCAGGAGGTGGAGGTTGCAGTGAGCCGAGATTGAGCCATTGCACTCCAGCCTAAGCAACAGGAGTCAAACTTCATCTAAAAAAAAAAAAAAAAAAAAATAGAGACCCTTTAAAAAGGTGAGAGAATAGGGCCGGTCAAGGTGGCTCACGCCTGTAATCCCAACACTTTAAGAGGCCAAGGCAGACGGGTCACCTGAGGTCGGGAGTTTGAGACCAGCCTGACCAACATGGAGAAACCTGTCTCTACTAAAAATACAAAAAAATCTCTGGACTTGGTGGCGTATGCCTGTAATCCCAGCTACTCAGGAGGCTGAGGCAGGAGAATTGCTTAAACCTGGGAGGCGGAGATTGCGGTGAGCCGAGATCTTGCCCTTGCACTCCAGACTGGGCAACAAAAGGGAAAATCCACCTCAAAAAAAAAAAAAAAAAAAAAAGTGGGAGAGTAGAAAAAATAAATACATAAATAGAGACCTGAAGGATGAATAGAGACCTGAAGGATGAATAGAGACCTGAAGGATGACTAGTGAACTAGCTGGAGAAGTGAGATGAGGGTGGGAAGGGGTATGTGAAGCAGAAGGAACAGGGTAGAAGGCAATCATGCAAGCCCCAATTAAATTAGTGAGGATAGAGGAGACAGCCAGTCCTCTAGGGAGGGATTTCCTGACTGATAAAGCCTGAGCAGCAAGGAGCCTCCTGTCCCACCTTGGGCAAATCTCTGCCAAGCTGGAACTTCACACTACACTGGCCAGCCATTGACTTTCCTGATAGAAAAACTACACCCACCAAGTCCTCGCTGGGGCTGGTGCGCCAAACACAGAAGCCAGAGAGAAGGGGAGGGGGCTGTCTCGGGGACAGAAGTGAGCAGGTTTTCCAGCGGAGGAGGAAGGTTGAGAAGAGGGGTATGGCTGCTGGCTCACGCCTGTAATCCCAACACTTAGGTAGGCCAAGGTGGAAGGAACACTTGAGCCCGGGAGTTCAAGACCAGCGGGGAACATAGCGAGAACCTCATCTGAACAAAAAATAATTACAGTTTAAAAATTAGCTGGGTGTCGTGGCGCGTGCCTGAAGTCCCAGGTATTCGCAAGGCTGAGGCAGGAGGATCACTTGAGCCCAGGAGGTCGAGGCTGCAGAGAACTATGATCCTGCAGCGAACTATGATCACTCCAGCCCAGGCGACAGAGCAAGACCTTAAAACACACAAACAAACAAAAAACGGCAGAGATGAGAAGCAGTCCCTTTTGCATAGGCAGTTATGTTTAGTCAGAGGCCTCCAAGACTGACTGGAAATCAGGTAGGCGATGAGCCTGGACAGCTGTGAAGCGCCTGCAACTCCCCGTTGCGGAATTCGTGTTTGCAGGACTTCAGTCGAATGGAGACTGAGCGCCCCCTGGGAGCAGTGCTCGGTAATAAGACCCCTATGAGAAGGGGCGGGGCGGGGCGGGGCGGGGCGGGGGAGGGTGTGGCTCAAGCTGGGAGGAGCCTGCCCGTCAATTTTCCTCTCACGGGAGCTAACTGCGTCGTGTATTATGGATTCCTGGGCTCCCAGAACTGCTGGGCAGGAAAGGACCTAGGAAGGGGATCTACCACAAAGTGCCCCGTGCCAGAGTTGGGCAGTTTGGTGGCAAGAACACTGTCTTGTTTAACGCTCCCAACTGTGCTTCGAGGTGGGGTTCATTATCCCTATTGTGCCCATTTTGCAGATGAGAAAAAGCAGTTTGGTGGCTTCCTGGAGCAGAGCGGGGCGGGAATTCTCTCTGACCCCAGGTCCGTAAGACACTGATTCCCGGAGGTCTGGGGAGCAGGCATCGAGGAGGAGGCGCTCAGGCTTTCTAGAAGACAAGAGAGTGAATGTATCTCCGCGAGAACCACGCCCCCCTGGTCGCGAGGAGATTGATGGATTCCTGCTGCCTTCCTTTAAGAGCCCTCCCCTGAAACACGAAGTCTTCGCTGCCTTCCTTTAAGAGCCCTTCCCTGAAACACGAAGTCCTCGTCCCATGGGGAGGCGGACATTCTTTATTCTCGGATCGCCCGACGTCTTTCTCCCCAGCCCGCACTGATGCCCACTGGTGACATAAATCCTCCTTCTCCACTCGCGAGTGAAAGCTTGGGACTACACTTCCCGCCAGGCTGTTCAGAAGCGGGCTGCGGGGAGAGGAGGAAAGAGTCCTTCCGTTTCCGTCGGCTCGCAATTTGGCGTGTCCGCCGAGATTCACATTTCAACAGCAACGTCCTTTCTCTGGTGAGCTCGGCAGGGAACTACATTTCCTAGCAGGTACCGACGCAGAGGTCAAAGGGCGAGGCCGCCATCTTTACCGTAGTCCTCTTCCCCCATTTCCGCAAGGAAGAGGCTGGGCACCTGGACTACACATCCCGTGCCGCCGTCGCCCCAGCCTTGCAGCCGCCATCTTTGCCAGTGGCCCCGCCCCATCCCCTTCCATTGTCTCGACTGGAGATAATAGACGAGAGCCGGGAGACTGCAACTCCCGTCAGGCCGTGCGCCGCCGGCAGGGGGATTTCAAGACCACAAGCAGGCGAGGTGCCCAAGGTGGTGGAAAGCAGAGACCGGGAGAGGCTAGGTGGCCTGCCATCTTTACGGTAGTCTCCTCGTCCTCCTGGTTCCGCCATTCTTAAGCAACACTAGAAGGCTAGAAAACTACTAATCCCATCGCACCTCGTAAGATCGACTACTAGTCAGGTGTATGCCCCTCTTCCGCCATCTTGCTTGTAGTCCTCGTTCCTTTTCACCTTTCCATTGTTCCTGACGAGTAGAAATGGCAGCGGGAAGGCAGCAGATGGACTGCGACTCCCGTCAGGTACCACACACGCGGAGGGTTGTGGACAGGAGGGCGTGTGAGTGCCTGGGAAGGAGGTCGGGTCGGGGGAGAAGGCCATCTTGTTTGTAGTCATCGTTCCCGCTCCTTCTCGATGTTCTGCAACTGGGAGCCTCGGGGCAGCGGGACTCTAACTCCCGGCATCCTCAGCTCCCGGCTGGGCACGCCCTCCGCCATCTTGTTTGTAGTTCCCGCTGCCCCCAGCATCCCGTTATTCCCCCCGTAGCAACAGTGGCTGCAGGACTACAACTCCCGTCGAGCCCTGTGCGCGTTCGTCCTGGAAAGTGGAGGTGGTGGAGGAAGGAGGGGGCAGGGGGCGGGGTTCCTTTGGGAGAAGGAGGGAGTGAGGAGGAGGAGGGAAGGAGGAGGGAGGGGAGGGGGAAAGAGAGGAGGAAGGAGGAAGGAGCTGAGGAGGGATGAGAGAGGCGGCCAGGGCCCCGGGCCGTAGCAGCGCGGGGCCGGGGGACCAGGGGGGCTGAGACACCCCAACTGCCCCCTTCCCCTTTCCCTCTCCCCCTCTATCCTTTCCTTCCACCCTCCCGCTTGAGGAGGGGGATTTATTCAAATTTTATTTAAATCCCTATCTCCAGAGGGTCGCGCGCTGGGGGGAGGGGGAGAGGGCGGGGGTGCGCGCGGGCTGGGGGGGCGGGGCCGGAGCAGCTTCTTTCACCCCCCCCCGCGCTCGCCCAGTAGCCGTAGGGCAGGGGGTCGCAGTTCAGAGGAGGGCCCAGGGGAGGGGGGCAGGTTACAGCGACCCCCCCCTCCCCGGGAACCGGCGGTGGGCGGGGCTTGAACCCCGGAAACGGTGGGGGGCCCAGGCCTGGCCCTGGACCCGTGGGCAGTGGGGTCCGGGAAGGGGCCAGTTGAAGGGCCGGGGGCGCTGGGGAGAGGCGGGGCGGGGTGGGGGGAGGGGAGCTGGGACTCGGACCCGGGACTGATTGGGCCCCGGGCAGAAGCTGAGCACCCTGCGCCCAAGGAGCCCCCGTTGGCCTGGGGGGGCTGAGGGACTGAGCCCCCCAGAGCAGGACCTCCCCCTGGAAGGGCCGCGCCGCAGCCCGTGGGAGGGCCTCGCCCCCGGCGCTCCCCATCTCCACTCGCTGCCGTCCCGGCCTCCGCCGGAGGGAGGGGCCGAGCGCCCTCGGGGGGCCGTGGACCCCGGCGTTCTGAGCGTTCCGCGCCCCGCGCCGCCCGGCCCCCCCGCCGCCGATGGCCGCCGACCCGCCGGGAGCTGCCGAGAAGGGAGAGATGGCTCCCGGGACACGTGTGAGGTGGGTTCATGCGGCTCCTCCTCACCCCCAGACCTGGGCAGCGCCCACTCCCATTCATCCTCAGCCCGGCCTCTCTGTACCTTCCCCGCCCCCAGCCTCACCCTCTCTCTGCTCCAAACTCATCTCCAGCCCTCCTTCCTGTGACCTCTCCACCCTGGGGAACTGGCCCTCCTTCCTAGATCCTGCTTCCCCTTGAAAGCCCCCACCCTCACCTGCAGTCGCCGCCCTACGGGCCCCTCCCCCGGAGCGCTGGAGGGCCCCTTACCCCCATGGATGGGTCTGGAATTCCCTGGAAAGGGGGAATCTGGGGTAAGACTCTGGGAAGAGACCCTCCAGGCTTCCAATTCCACATGGATCTTGGAGGATCTGCTTTTCATGGGAGGGGGAACCCAAGGGATTCTAAATGATTAGAGATGAAAGCAGCCCGGGAAGCTGGGGAGTCTAGGACTGAGCCCATCCTGAGTTCTGGGGAGATGTCAGGCTGGATTCTAGAATCCCAAGGAATCTGGGAGATTGCCCAGGTGGACCTGAGGGATCCAAGAGGAGGAGGAGGATGTCCTGGAGGAGGAGCCCTGTAGGGAACAAGAGGGGCTGAGATCTTGGGCTGAGAAAGGTCTCATCTGAAGACGAATCACCGGAGCTGTCAGAGCCCTGGGGAGTTAGTGGGGAGAGGAGATCGTTAGGGACTGGGGGGCAAGGATTTCGCTGGATCTGGTGAGGATAACTGGGTTGAGGGCAAGAGAGATTGGATGACTGCTATGGATGAAAAGGCGGTGGGGAGTGAGGGGGAGAAAAGTATGGAGATTCCGTCTAGGAATCTGTGTGTATCTGGGAGGTGAATCTGGGCAGTTTACCCCACTGAGGTTGGGGAGAGCCTGGGGTATTTTACACTTGGATAACAGGGGAAGAGTTGGGACTTCTCCAAGCTAACACCACGGACAAGGAGCGCCTGGCCTTTCCAAGGAGCTCCAGTGTGGGGATGGCAGAGGAGAGAGCCTTGGTGTCCCTTCCTGCTCCCGGGGCTGGGGAAGGGACCCTGAGGAGGCGGTAGAGGAGCGAGGCCAGGAAGCAGTTCTTAGGCTCCTCTTGAGCTGCTGCAGGGAGACAGGTCTTAAGTAGAGAATTGGCCCCCAGATACAAAGGAGGGGATGACCTCCTTGTCCCCCTGGGGGAGAAGGCAGGCCCTAGTTGCCTATGAGTGGAGGGAGCTGCCAGAAGTCTCCCAGGCCAGGGCCCCAGTGGGCCCATCTGACCCTGCCACCATCCACCCACAGCCCTCGGCGTTGCTGACGCCCCCAATGTCGTCGAGCAGCCGGGGGCCGGGGGCCGGAGCGCGCCGACGCCGAACCCGCTGCCGCCGCTGCCGCGCCTGTGTGCGAACTGAGTGCGGGGATTGCCACTTCTGCCGAGACATGAAGAAGTTCGGGGGGCCCGGGCGCATGAAGCAGTCGTGCCTGCTCCGCCAGTGCACTGCCGTGAGTTCTGCCCCCACCTCTGGGCTCTGCCCACCCTTCCCGATGCATCCCAGCCTGTGCTGTGGAGTGGCTGGCTGTTCACTTGTTCATGTCCTCCCTTCATTCACTAGTTTGTGTCAATGTTGATTTTTGTCCTCAGCTCCAAGCTGGGGGCAGTGTCCAGGTGTGAAGAATGATCTGACCCAGTCCCCACTTTCAGGCTTTTCCCAGCTCTCAGAGTCACACCCCACAGAATGCCCAGCCCCTCCTCTACCGCTCCCCAAAGGTCTTTGTGCAGGAGGGGACCCATCCCCAGAGCTGGCCCCCTTTGAACAGGTCTTGCCCTTCTCTGGCCTTTTCCTCACCCAGGGTGGTCTTGGATTTGAGGCTATACTCGCCCTTTATGTGACCTTGAGTAAATCACATTGAATGAACTTCAGGTTCCTTTTCTCTAAAATGTTTCCTTTGCTGAGTTGTAAAGAGTAAACGATGTCATGGATGCTAGTGTGTCTACCACAAGGCCCAGCACACAGTAGGGACCAGGGAAGCATGGGTTTCCGCCCTGCCTTCCTCATCCTTTGAGCGTCCCTGGGCTCCAGCACAGCCCCTCCCTAGCAGCCACGCGGAGCCAGCTGCATCCTGCATCCCCCTCCCCACTCTGCCACCTTCCTTTCTTCCTCCTGCTGCTCTTTCCTGGTTGGTCTCTTCACCCCTTAGCCCCTCACTTATTTTCCTTTATCCCCCAACTCCTTGCCTCACTTTTCCTTCCTTGATCCTGCCTCATCCCTGAGATGACTCAGTCTTACCGCTGTCCTCCCTGAAGTCGCACTATCTGAGGCTGCCCCCGCTTCCCCAGGACTGGTGGCTTCCCTAGTGTTCCCAGGGGGTCTTGCCAAAACCGGGTTCATTGTGAGATTCAGAGCAACTCTTGGGCTGCCCATGGAGCGACCTCAGTATCACCCCAATCTGTTTTGTGTTTTCTGCATCCTCTTGAGTGTTACTGTCCCCCTCCCCAAAGCCAGCTGCAGTTTCAGGGTCACACTGGCCCTGGGTCCAGCTTTAACAGTCACAGGTGATAACAGCTACACATCAGTGCCTCTCATGTATTATCTCGCTCTCCCAAGAGTCCTGCGAGGGAAAGATTCTTGGCCCCATTCTGTAGATGCAGAAATGGAGATTTAAGGAGGTTAAATTGGTTGCTCGAGGTCACACTCCCAAAAGAAGCGGACTCCAGATCAGACCCAGCTTGGCCTGTGGGTGCTGCACCTCATCCAGTAGCTGGCCAGGGTCCCTAGAAGGAAGGGTCTTTCCCCTGTTGCTAGCTTTCAGGGTCCCTGATGTGCCGTCTCCCCCAACAGCCTGTGCTCCCACACACAGCTGTGTGCCTCTTGTGTGGGGAGGCTGGGAAGGAGGACACGGTGGAGGGAGAGGAAGAGAAATTTGGTTTGAGCCTCATGGAGTGTACAATCTGCAACGAGATCGTCCACCCCGGCTGCCTGAAGGTGATGGATGGCCCTGGGACTCTGGTGTCTGGGGTGGGGCAGATTGTCAGGGAGCGGGTGGGGGGCACCTTGGTTCTGGGCTTCCTGGCGCCCCCCCACCCCCCTACTCACTGCACTCTTGCCTACAGATGGGAAAGGCTGAGGGTGTCATCAATGCAGAGATCCCCAACTGCTGGGAGTGTCCTCGCTGCACCCAGGAAGGCCGCACCAGCAAGGTAGGGGCTGGGCTGGGCTTGGGCTGAGCTCCAGGCAGGCGAGGTGGGGTGGGGGTGGGGGTGGGTGGTGGTATCAGGGAGCTGTGCAGGTCCTCATCCCCAGCTTCTGTCCCCCAGGATTCAGGTGAGGGGCCAGGCCGCCGCAGGGCCGACAACGGCGAGGAAGGCGCTAGCCTGGGGAGTGGATGGAAGCTGACGGAGGAGCCGCCGCTTCCACCGCCCCCGCCCAGGCGCAAGGGCCCCCTGCCTGCCGGGCCCCCAGCAGAGGACTTGCCTGGGCCCCCCAAACGAAAGGAAAGGGAGGCAGGGAATGAGCCCCCCACCCCAAGGAAAAAGGTGAGCCGCAGAGCATGCTCACTAGGCCTGGCCTGAGGGATTTTGGGAGCTGTAGTCCTGGCCAGTTCTGGGGGGGGGGGGTGTGCGTGGGCCTAGGAGCACGCTCCATGGGTTCCCCAAGGGCTATTGGGAAATGTAGTTCAGGAATTGGGTGGGGGAGGATAGAGCATGCTTAATGTGGAGGAGCGGGACAGGTGAGGGGAGCTGGCACCGCAGGAAGCTTTGGGAGCCCTGGGTGGGTTAGGCAGGCAGGAGAGAGCATGCTCAGATCGTTGCTGCATGGGAGGAGGGAGGGGCTGGAGAGGGCCTGAGGGGAGGAAAGAGAGATGGAGCATGCTCAGTGGGCCAGGACGCTGGGTGCAAGGTGAGCATGCTCAGAGTTATCCCTGGGATGGGGGCTTCTGGGATTTGTAGTCTAAGAAGAGAGCATGGACCTTAGATTTCTGGGCCCTGAGGGCCTAATGGGGTCTCTCCCTTCCCCCATATTTCCCTCTCACCCTGGTAGGTGAAAGGAGGCCGAGAGAGGCACCTGAAGAAGGTGGGTGGAGACGCCTGCCTCCTCCGAGGATCGGACCCAGGCGGCCCGGGCCTGCTGCCCCCCAGGGTTCTGAATCCAAGCCAGGCTTTCTCGTCCTGCCACCCTGGGCTCCCTCCCGAGAACTGGGAGGTGTGCCGGGGACCTCCTCCCTCCCCTTTCCACCTTCCTCTGCCCCACCTTCCACCCTGCAGCCTGAGACCTGTCCCTTCCTGCTCACCTTGTTCTGCCCCAGCTCCACTTGGCCACGGTGGGCGTCCGGACCCCTGGGATGAGTTGGTGGGAGGGTGGGTTGGATCCGGGCCACAGGAGCCCCTGACCTCCCAAAAACCCTTAGGGCCCATCTGACCTACTTGCCTCATCTTTCCAAGCCTTATAGGGGAGGGAACTGAGTTCAAATTTCTGTTCCACCATTTAGTCTTTGTATGGTCCTGCCACCCTGAGCCTCAGTTTCCTCATCCATGAAGTGGACATGCTGCTGTCTGCCTTGCCCCCTTATCCCACAGAGCTGTATAACTCTAATGAGGCTCTGAAAGGCAGTGAGCTTTGTAAGCCATAAAGTTTACCTAGATTCAAGGGAAGTAAGGCCCAGAAAGGTTTGAAGACTTGTCCAAGGTCACATAGTAAAGCCAGAATTGAGATATTACTTGGCACGGACACTCAACACAGGAGTCTGCCCTACTGGGTCGAAATCCTGCCCCTGCTGTTTGTGAGTTTGTAACCTTGGACAAGTCACATTGTGCCTTTAAGCCTCGGTTTCCTCATATCTGAAAAGAGTGATCCAGGCCACCACTGCGTTAGAATACTGTGAGGACGGCCGGGCACGGTGGCTCACGCCTGTAATCCCAGCACTTTGGGAGGCCGAGGCGCGTGGATCACGAGGTCAAGAGATCGAGACCATCCTGGTCAACATGGTGAAACCCCGTCTCTACCAAAAATACAAAAAAATTAGCTGGGCATGGTGGTGCGTGCCTGTAATCCCAGCTACTCAGGAGACTGAGGCAGGAGAATTGCCTGAACCCAGGAGGCGGAGGTTGCGGTGAGCCGAGATCGCGCCATTGCACTCCAGCCTGGGTAACATGAGTGAAACTCCATCTCAAAAAAAAAAAAAGAATACTGTGAGGACGGAATGGGTCGGCTGGCATGGGGTGCTGCACGTGGGGCCAGACAGTCACTGTTACCCTCAGTTGTTGGACAGATGCCTGGTCCAGCTGGGCTGCATCGTAGATGATGAAGCAGGGGCTCCCCACAGCCATCTAGAGTTAAGGGCGAGCCAGGACTCAAAGCAGGGTCTCTCACTTCTTCATTCCTTACTGCTTTTGGAACTGCCTAAGCCATGCAAACCAATAAAGGCTAGAAATTATTTGAATTAGCATCCTTCTGTTACAGATAAGGAAACTGAGGCCCAGGGCCTGGTTGTGACTTTAGCAAGGTCTCCCACAGTCCGGAGCAGAGCCAGGGCTGGAACTCAGGACTATCCCTCGGGCCTTTCATCCCCTGGTGACTCCGTGGGGCAGGGGGGTGGGAAAATGCGTCCCAGGCCCTAGAATAGCATCAACCCTCTCTCCCTGCAGAAACCAAAGCCGCCTTTGGCCTCTGCAGAGGGCCCAGCAGTGCCATCCCCATCCCCGCAGAGGGAGAAACTAGAGCGTTTCAAGCGCATGTGCCAGCTGCTGGAACGGGTGCCTGACACATCCTCTTCCTCCTCGGACTCAGACTCCGACTCTGACTCTTCAGGCACATCGCTGAGTGAGGACGAAGCCCCTGGCGAGGCCCGAAATGGGCGACGGCCGGCCCGGGGCAGCTCTGGCGAGAAGGAGAACCGCGGGGGGCGGCGGGCTGTGCGTCCTGGCAGCGGGGGGCCCCTGCTCAGCTGGCCCCTGGGCCCTGCGCCACCACCCCGGCCTCCACAGCTGGAGCGGCACGTGGTGCGGCCCCCACCTCGAAGCCCTGAGCCTGACACACTCCCCTTGGCTGCTGGATCCGACCACCCCCTGCCCCGGGCTGCCTGGCTTCGCGTCTTCCAGCACCTCGGGCCCCGGGAGCTGTGCGTCTGCATGCGAGTCTGCCGGACTTGGAGCCGCTGGTGAGTGTTCTGGACAGGCCCAAGTTCCGTCGCCAGCAGGCTTCCCACTTGCTGGGTGACCCGTGGTAGGTCTCTGGCCCTCTCTGGGCCTGGCTTTTGTATTGGGTATACTTCTCCAGTGTGCACAGATTACAGGCCTCCTCCCGTGTTTACTGTGCGCAGGCTGCTCTGCACTTAACAGGCTTATTTAATCCTCCAGACAACTTTTGAGGTAGAGGCTGTGGTCCCCTTTTTCAAATGAATTTGGGACCTGAGGTCATGTGGAAAGGAAGTGGTGATAAAACCAGGCATTTGAGCCTAGGCCCTCTGGCTCCGGTGCCTTTCCTCCTAATAATGGTGATTATTTACTGAGTGTCTAGTGTGTGCCAGCCACAGCACTGAGTGCCATAATGCATTGTCACTTCTCGTACTGCCGCTGTCTGAAGACAGCCTCACGATTGGTTCCATTCACGTAGAGGTCCGTGTGTCAGGCCAACCCTGCTGTCAAAAGCCAGGCGTGAACCTCCTAACTCTGCTCCTGGCGTCCTTCTGCCCTGGAGCCACCACTAATGCTCTCTGCCCATCCCCCAGCCCCCTAGCCTCGTTCAGAAATGTTGGTCATCCTCCCTAGCCTCTTGTCTTCCTCTCTGATCTCGCCTCCAAGAAAATTCCTTCTTCTCCCTATCAAACTCCCACAGTCCTCTGTTCCCCTCATAGAGTGCGCAGAGGCCTTCAGAGTGTTGACAAGCCTTCATTCATTTACTTACTTCGTATTCCCGTCAGTTGCTGGGGTGGGAGCAGATAACTGTGTCTGTTTTATCTTCATGTCCCTAGCATAGGACAAAGGGCAGTGTAAGTGCTCAAGAAATGTTGCAGTAAACGGGGATATCAGGCTCTTTCCCAGGGACTCGCTGTGGCGGGGACCAGATGTCCTGTTGAACACTGCACCAAGGTTAGCTGATTTGACCCTCATAATGGCAGCCCTGTGAGGAAAAGGGGACACCTGAAGTTACAGTACAAGTTCATGGCCGAACTCAAGTGCTAGTCTTCTTTTGGGACAAGGTCTGGGCCACTGATGCCTTCTGGTCCCTGCAGAGATTGTGCAGACAAAAGTACCAGAGTGTGGGCTCTGGAGGCAAATTGCCTGTGATAGAATCTCTTATTTAGATGGAGTCTCACTCTGTGGCCCAGGCTGTGCAGTGGCTCGATCTTGGCTCACTGCAACCTCTGCTTCTTAGGTTCAAGCAGGTCCCCTGCCTCAGCCTCCTGAGTAACTGATCAAAACACCTGACTTTTTTTTGTTTTGTATTTTTAGTAGAGACAGGGTATCACCATGTTGGCCAGGTTGGTCTTGAACTCCTGACCTCAAGTGATCTGCCCACCTCAGCCTTCCAAAGTACTGGGATTACAGACATGAGCCACCGACATGGTTACAGCTGATGAGCTGTAAACTATGAGGCCAGTCACTTAACGACCTGTGCCTCAGTTTCTTCAGCTGTAACACCAGAGAATCAATGCTCTTGCATAGTGTTTTTTTAAGCTAATATACACAAAGAACTCAAAGAACTAAGCACAATACCTGGGAAATAGGAACTACTGTGAGAGAGAACCTTCACTGTAGCCAGTATTTACTTAGTTGCAAACAGTTACTGAAAGCACAGCCTGTTAGGCCTCAGAAAACAGATCTGTGCCCTTGAAGAGCCCACAGTTAAGCTGCAACATAGAAGCAGATAGTTACAGAAGTTGCAAAGGATGACACTGCCTCAAGTATTAATCAAAGAAATGTTTCCAGTACTAATCAAAGAAATGTTTGCTGAGGCCCCTTCAAGGCCAGCTCTGTGCTTGGAGCGTGGGAGCCAAAACTGAAAGGGACCTGATTTCTGCTTCAAGGGGAGATGCATGGCCTGAAGCAGACGAAGTGAGAGGCGGGGGCTCCCAGTGTGGGCCCTGGAGTCTGCGTCCTTGGGTTTCACTGACTGTGCAGCGGTGTATGGAGAGCGATACCTCTCGAGACCCTAGTTTTCTCATCTGTGGTTATGAATACTCACCTTATGTGGATTAAGTGAATCGATTCCTGTAAAGCCCACAGCACAGTGCCTGCAGGGCACTGGACACTCAGTCAGATGACACGTCTCAATGAAAAGGACGAGAGTGGGGCAGAGCAGGGGCCTGTAGAACTTTTTTTTTTTTTTTTTTTTAAATGGAGTCTCGCTCTGTTGCACAGGCTGGCGTGCAGTGGCATGATCTCGGCTCACTGCAATCCGTGCCTCCCAGATTCAAGCGATTCTCCTGTCTCAGCCTCCCAAGTAGCTGGGACTACAGATGCCCGCCACCATGCCCAGCTAATTTTTATATTTTTAGTAGAGATGGGGTTTCATCTGATATTGAACTCCTGACCCCAGTTTATCCACCTGCCTTGGCCTCCCAAAGTGCTTGGATTACAGGTGTGAGCCACCTTGCCAGGACTTTTTTTTTTTTTAAGACAGAGTCTCTCTCTCTCTCCTTGTTGCCCAGGTTGGAGTGCAGTGGGGCAATCATAGCTCATTGCAACCTCAACCTCCTGGACTCAAGCAATCCTCCTGCCTCAGCCTCCCGAGTAGCTGGGATTGCAGGCATATGCCACTGTGCCTGGCCAATTTTTAAAACTTTTTTTGCAGAAATGGGTCTCGCTGTTACCCAGGCTGATCTTGAACTTCTGGCCTCAAATGATCCTTCCACCTTGGCCTCCTAAAGTGTTGGGATTACAGGTGTGAGCCCCTGTGCCCAGCCAAGAACTTTTTAAGAAGTGGAATGGCTCCGACCAGTTGTGATGGCTTACCCTCGTAATCCCAGCACTTTGGGAGGCCAAGGTGGGCGGATCACTTGAGGTCAGGAGTTTGACAGCAGCCTGGCCAACATGGTAAGACCCTGTCTCTACTAGAAATACAAAAAAATTAGTCGGGCATGGTGGCACGTGTTTATAGTTCCAGCTACTCAGGCGCCTGAGAAGAGGAGTTGCTTGAACCTGGGAGGAGGAGGCTACAGTGAGCTGAGATTGCATCACTGCACTCCAGCCTGGGCAACAAGAGCAAAACTACATCTCAAAATAAAAAACAAAAAAAAAGTGGGGCCGGGCGCGGTGGCTCAAGCCTGTAATCCCAGCACTTTGGGAGGCCGAGGCGGGTGGATCACGAGGTCAAGAGATCGAGACCATCCTGGTCAACATGGTGAAACCCCGTCTCTACTACAAATACAAAAATTCAGCTGGGCATGGTGGCGTGTGCCTGTAATCCCAGCTACTCAGGAGGCTGAGGCAGGAGAATTGCCTGAACCCAGGAGGCGGAGGTTGCGGTGAGCCGAGATCACGCCATTGCACTCCAGCCTGGGTAACAAGAGTGAAACTCTGTCTCAAAAAAAAAAAAAAAAAAAAAAAAAG